TACTGAATGGCCTTGTCCAGTGGGAATCCCGCCGAGAAAAAACTAATCAGAACATCCACGATGGGCCATTCCTCGATGGGTTTGTTCAGAATCACGTCTTCATCAAATATGTTGGCCTGGATCTGCATGAACTTCTCCAGGCGATCCAGGATCTCGTGCATTGGTTTGGAGTTGGATTTCTTTTGCATGGCACAGACACCCAGGACGATCCGCTTACCCTCCGGCAGCTCCTCAAACAAGGCATTCTCACCCTGAAGAAAAGAATTCACGATTATAAAATTAGAGTATGATCAATTTTTTCTCATAATGTCATCTATCTCAGCTTATACTTTGTAATTTTAAATGGTCAAGTATGCTAATATACATTATAATTATTCATATCAGATAGATCTATAAGGTTTGTTGGTGACACATTCATGGCAAACTTCAATAAAGGAAAATGTAAAACTGAATGATGTGATTGATGTTGGTTTTGATCCGAATAATTCTGAATTCAGTTTTATATCATACTGCACACAAAGTTCTCTAACAACTGTTTTTTATGCTGCCTTAAAAATTCTGATGGTCACTCCAACCATCAGAATTCTGGAGCATAACAAAGATTTGATTTTAATCAGATCAATTGTAGAGCAGCTGTTTTACCTTTGCAACATGTAAAACAAACCAAGTACAGATACACTGCAGTAGGGCATTAGCATTCTATATCTCTACTATTAATCTGACCTTTCCTTTGATGAGAATATCCTCTCCAACAAAGAACATGGGAGTACCATCTTTACTCAGTGGACTTCGACTAGGATTATTTTCTTCTGTGGCTTCCATCTTATCTTTCCAAAACAACTTCTAAAATTTCAAAATCATTGCAAAAAACTAACTTTTACTTTCATGCAGATTTCCATGGTTTCTTGCAATTAACCAAACATTGCAGGAATTTTTAACCTTGCCATGCTTACATTTACATAAAATCTAATAAAATCTTCCTCAACTTTAATGTAACCTTTTCCATTAATTTTATACCAATCAAAGCATATTCAAAGCAAACTTAAGTTTGAGTGAATGAGTGAATGGGAAGTACTATGGTGCAACTGTCAAAATTTTGAATGGGTTAGTGTGAAAATAAATGGTCCATCTATATATTCTGAAGTTAACCATCTGTATTTAAGATAATGTAGTTTTTCTCCCTTACACAGAAAAAATCACAAAAATGTATTATTAGACAGACTTGTGGAGAAAAAAAAAACACTTCAAGTATTATCAAAAGATATAATGATTATACTCTCATAAGACATCAATGGCAGATACATAAACTAGATTGAATAATTTAAATGGGTAGTTTATTTGTGCCTTAAGGGTTTTCCCCAGGTTTATGCAAGCTAGATCAAAGCAAAATGATTTGGAAACAATAAAAATTGAAATATTTCAGCTAATTTCTTTCAAGAAGATTCAGATTCATTTTAAATTTCATATCTCGTCTGCCTAATTATATATGACTGAGGAAATTCGGAATTATTCCATTCAATGTCAAATTATACGTAATTTTGCACTATAACAAGAAACATTATAAAATTTTTCCATGAGTTGTTATAAAATTTTACACTTTCATAACCTAAGTTATGCATATTATAGGGTAATCTATTTTGATCGTGTGACTGTCCTGATCAATCTGGCTGATGTCTGTGATGATGGTCCATTTTACCATGTTTACTGTCGCAATACTTTGACGATTAACAAGAGAAAAAATGTACAGTTGCTTACTTTCTGTCACTGCCTTGTGGCAGAGACAGGTCTGTATATAAATTGTTCTACTCCATCCTCCAACTTTGTCATAAACAGAAATAATCCATATCAGACGAGACTTCTGCAACCATCATCCGACAAAATCCGGAAATTGAAAATGTTAATGTCGAACCCGATCGAAAATAAAGCTACGCCTTATTTGGTCCGAGTCAGATCGTAAATTTTGCCCGTGGTTATGCGAAAAATTAAACTTTTTTTAAGTTAAAAAGAAACATAAAATAAACGTTATGCCGTAAAGTTTTATTTGACTTTTTCCACTAAAAAATCAATAAAACGTTTAAATGTCACAAAAAGTTATCATGGTGATAAAATTGAGAATATTGAATTTTAATTTTTTAACGTACATCTTTCAAAATTTAAATCGAAATAGTCCTCAATATACATATACCAATCCATGTATCTTTTTGTAGCAAGTGTTCTTAACTAAGTATTGAAGTTAGTCATACATTTATATCGAGGTTAAGATTGGGTTAATCAGTAGTGGTTGTGGAATTAACACTTTTCCTTTTACCTATTCATTGATGCCCCTACGGATACTTATTTCTGCAGTTAAAGTACACCGGTATAAAATTATTACATTGATCAAACTACATATATAGAAAAAAGTGCCGGTTTTTTGTGATATTCTTTAAAATATTGCTTGCATGTTGTTGTTTTTTTAATCAGATAGTTAAACAGATGGCTGCAATTAAAATTTACCTGATTTCATCAATGACAATCACTTATCTCAACTACAAAGTAACACAGAAATTAAGTACTTGTATATAAATATGACCTAATTAGGTATGCGCATATATAAACTGAACAAACAACAAGTTTTTCTTATCGTGTCCGACCCCTGTAATTTTCCTTTTCAATCGAACAAGGAATGTGGGATATTCCTGATTTCAACAACTATATACATTTTAAAGCTAATGGGTTCATCATCATTGCTCATTATTTGGCAAACAAACTTACAAAGGAAATTTCATATATATAGTCATATATTTCGGAAAAATATTTTAGAGGGCTCTACTTACATACTTTATACTGTATATTATTCCTTTGATGCGTCCCCAGCTAACTTCCCACGGGCACTTGTTTCGGAAATAAATGTTTTTAACTCTGGCATAGTATTATCATACCAGGTCCCTGATTACAATATTACAATATACTAGTAATTCCGAAACATGTATATCTGTCTTACTTTCTCTAAAAAGACAACAAAAAATATTTCAAGCAGTATGAAAAGAATAATTAATTTTTATAATATTCAATTCTTATGATATATATTTCCCAACGAAAGTGAATGCAGTCCCTCATGCACATTAACACTTAATTTGAACCCCTCTGGCCACATTCATTTAAAATTAGTAACCACTATATATAACAGAGGGTGTTGCTATTTACATGTAAAACGCGGTACGGAATATTATTGTTTCGATAAAATCACTTAAAGTACACAAATTTTATCATAAACGACATATCTTTTACATATTCAGTCCCCCATTCTTAAATACAAGTTGATTTAGTCATTCACGAAAATCGCAGACACAGAAGTGACCTTGAATCTACTTTGAAAGTGAGGTTGGGGGGGGGGGGATTAATGAACTTACCTGAACAGAATTTTACAAGCGAAAAACGAGAAGACAATTGTTTGAATCGGGAGGGGGGATAAGTTCCAACTCCAACATCTTTCAGTACTATTTTTTACACTAACTTACTTCATTAATTACATCGAAAAAAAGGGGGGGGGGGGGGGGTAATAAACATTTCTAAAGTAAAAAGGTAATGCCTTGAAAAAAAAGGGGGATATTTGAAATCTAGATGAACCAAGGTAAGAGAAATAAAATGTAAAAATTAAAATTTTACGATTAAAGCCAACATTTCCGGCAAGCTCGGATAAACACCTCTAACGTAACACTGGTTGTTAAAATTTTATACAAAATAGAGTCGCTTAATCATGTTCATTAAAATTCTGTTAAATACAATTCTGAATAGATAAAGTTGGAATACTTTTCTGTGGCAAATTTAATGTAGCATCTTTACATTCAATGAAGTTAAAGTTTGTATGTGGTACATGTGAGTGTGTGTGTGGGGGGGGGGGGGTGTATATGAATGACCCCGTAAAACATTTGGGTTTGTTTTTCAACTCATCAGAAAGGTCTAAGAAGTTGCAAAAGGTCCTCCCCTCCCTTTTGTGTCCAAAATACATAATACATGTACATATAAGATTTAATTGATAATTTTTGGGTGTGGTGGCTGTGAGCCCCTACCCCTACCCCTTCAAGATTCATGGATTCTCCACTGCTTGCATAATACGAATGTCAAAGCCAGTTATTTTTGTCACAGATATTTTATGTAGCTTTTTTTTTCTTTACCAGATCTCTCAAAAAAAAAGAATTTGATTAAACGTCTCTCCTCTAGTTGGTATGTATTTTATAGACCAGATTTTTATGTGTTTATATTATATATATCATAGTTTATGATAAATTTTTAATATATTTATGACTTTTAAATATCAAGAATATTGCCTTTTTATCCGCTTTATATCGAATCTATATAATTTTTTTGACATAAATTTTCCATTTTCCATTCCGTTCCGTTTTCCGTTCCGTTTTAGCCAGAAGAGAGAAAAAATGTGCTTCTCTATCCACGATTTTTAGCAGCAAAAAAGGATATTCTTTCCTCAGGGCCAGATTTTTTATTGTTTATACTGGCCAGAGACGAAGCATCGTTTTTGAAAGTTGGGGGTCAGCCAAAGAGAGAAAAAATGTATCCTGCAGCAAAAAAGGCTGGGATGGGGCGCCTTTCAATGAACATTTTCATTATCAGATTCGCAGTACATATATTGCTTTAAGTATTTATTCACATATCAAATAAACAAAATTAGCAACACTTTTTGAAAAAAAATCAATTTTTTGTTATATCACGTATAAGAAATCAATATGGTACCGAAGAAAAAAAAATAGAAAAGGGGTTGGGTAGGGGTGGTGGCGATGGAGGGGGAGGGATAAATTGGTATGAGAGTGTATTTTTGTGTTTTACATTAAGTTCCAAACTTCTTTGCCTCACAATTTATTTTGATAGATTTAGACTAGTATATACATACAGGCATATATAATTGAAATCTATTTTCTTATCTTTAGTAAGAATTGTCCTGAGTAGGTTTCTATATTTAGCAGTTAAAAAATCCCACTTGAAGTTTTTAGGACGTGACGAGATTGTCGTTTATAAATACACAGAGCGAAAGTGTGAGACAAACCTTGGGACAAACCTCGACAAACAGAATGAACTACTAGTAAATGGTTGTCATTGTCCTTGTGAATAAACAGGTAAACATATTTGGCTATTTTTTCTGTGTGTACGTAGCATTGTACATGTACATTCATTTGTCCTGTCAATCATTTTCGGACAGTAATTAAGCCGTAGATAATGTACATTCAGGTATGTCATATTTTGTGTAGGTAAATAAACTAAAATGATCATGGGAAATCCCACGAATAACTATAAGGTACAGGTATAAACTGTTCGTTTACTTTCACAATAAAAAGGATTTTAAGTTTGTAGCCTTTGGATTTAAAACTTCCGAACAGTAAGTTTAATTGTATACTCTTAGCGTAAACTTTGATCAATATAAATGCATGTATACGTAAATCGAAACCAAACATTTTGAATCAGTCAAGCATTTCAATCATTGAGAAATAATAAATAAAATGGTTTTTATTACTTTAAAAGCAAGAACATGACCAGTTCATTAATATATAATTAAAAATTCGCCCATCGGGGTAGATCGTGAGAGTTCACGGTTGTTTCATTTTAATGTTTCACCCACTATTTTCCTTTTTAGCTCACCTGAGCCAAAGGCTCAAATGAGCTTTTCTGATCAAAATTTGTCCGTTGTCTGTCGTTGTCGTCGTCGTCGTTGTCGTAAACTTTTCAAATTTTCACCCTCTTCTCAAGAACCACTGGGCCAATTTCAACCAAACTTGCTACAAAGTATCCTTGGGTAAAGGGGATTCAAGTTTCTTCAAATGAAGGGCCACGCCCTTTTCCAAGGGGAGATAATTATGAATTAGAGAAAAATTAATGGCATTTTTCAAAAATCTTCTTCTAAAGAACAACTGGGCCAGGAAAGATGAAACTCATGTGGAATCATCCTCAGGTAGTGTAGATTCAAATTTGTTCAAATCATGACCCCCGAGGGTAGGGTGGGGCCAAAATGGCCGATCAAAGTTTAACATAGGAATATAAAGGAAAAACCTTTAAAAATCTTCTCCTCAAGAACCACTGGGCCAGGAAAGATGAAACTCATGTGGAATCATCCCTTTGTTCCCACAGCCGGAAGATATAGGAAAAATCTTTAAAAATCTTCTTCTCAAGAACCACGTAGCCAGGAAAAATGAAACTCATATGGAATCATCCTCAGGTAGTGTAGTTTCAGGTTTGTTCAAATCATGACCCCTGGGGGTAGGGTGGGGCCACAATGGCCGATCAAAGTTTTACATAGGAATATAGAGGACAAATCTTCTTCTCAAGAACCATTGAGACAGGAAAGATGAAACTCTTAAGGAATCATCCCCAGGTAGTGTAGATTCAAGTTTCTTCAAATCATGACCCCCTGGGGTAGGGTGGGGCCAAATGGCCCATAAAAGTTTTAAATAGGAATATATAGGGAAACCTTTTAAAATATTCTTTTCAAATACTTCAAAGCCATGCCTAGTGATATTTATAGGGAATCATCCTCAGATATTGTAGATTCTAGTTTGTTTCATGACCCCCTTTACATTTTTAAATTTTCAGTTCTGATCTGATATGTGCTTTTTTCTAGCCAATTGCTCAGGCGAGCGATGTGGCCCCTGGGCCTCTTGTTAATTTTTATGTACAGCCATCATGGGGTCCAGACAGTCAGCCCAGGGATACACAGAGGGAGAGGACCAGCCCCTCCCACAGCCGCGACCCCCACGTAAACTGAAGCGCCACCTAGTAAAACGAGAGGATACATTTAAAAGCATTGACGATTACGCCTTGAAGGTGAGACATTATTGTTTGTTTAAAGTCTGGTTTCAGTTTACATTTTTATCACTGTTATCAGCAAATAGGGAAGTACATGTAACGGGCTAGCTACTTTTTTCCTTTTTTCGTGACTGTAAATCTCATAAAGTAGTCCATAGATGTCAGTTTACTTAACCACAGGCACTAGTTTCGGAAATAAATTTTAACCCTTAGTATAAAAATAAGATACCTTGTTATTATTATATACTATGGGTTAAAATTTATTTCCGAAACAAGTACCTGTGTTACTTACATGTACTTTCATTTATTGAATCTTTTTTTCTTTTTAATATTCCCCCCCTTCAACCCAAGTTTAATTTACTCAACAACAAAAAACCAGTAGGAATATCCACCTGTGCTTTACCTGAATAAATGCAAGGCATATTCCTTGACTATAATTAACACAGGTCTTTTCTTTCCTTATCATGGAAATAATTGACACGTTTGAATTTAATTTAAACATAGAAGTGATACACACGATAAAATTTACTTATTTTTAAAAACTGTTTTAAAAAAAAACATGGATTCTTTTATAACATGGCCCATCTCCTTCCAATGCACTCAGTGAAACTTCAGCTCAGTGAAAACGGTTAAAAAATTTATCCAAAAACTGAAAGAAATAAGAGTCATTTATTTTACCTGGGAAATTGGTGCTTATTTTGTAGACACCTAGATCCGCCACAGTATCAGTTGCAAAGCTGGCCACCCACCTTTCTGAAGGAGCAACATCCGATCTAGAAAAGATCCGCGCTTTCTATCGTTGGATCACTGAAAACATCAGGTTATTCCAAACTCTATCTAGTAATTTGAATATTAATTTTTTTTATCAAATATTTCTAATAGCATTTTTTATTCCAATTTGTTTTTCCACTCGTTAGTCGATATAATAAACGAAGAGAAATATAACATTGGCAATTCTTTCTAAAATGAACGATTGTCGGAGTGTTACTCATTACTTTTGATTAATTGTACATGATTGATGGTTTGCTTTATGTCCCATCGCGAATTTTTCACTCTGTCTGGATGCCACAATTTAGAATTGTACATTAAGCGAAGATAGATATCTTTCTTTGTGTCACCTACTTTCGCGACACTGGTCCAAAGTTTATGCGGTCTCATGCAATCGACAAGTCGTTTTCCACGTCCTACGATTCGAACTTTTTACTCTTTGATTCTATCCACTGCATCAAATGAGCGACACAAAACCTTTTGTATGCATATGCTTGATGTGAAGTGTATTATCAGTAGATGTATCATCTGTTTTACAGGTATGACACTCGTCCAGACTTTCACGACAGAGATATTGATACAAGTGGAGCTGCTGTGTTACGCATGCGTAGTTCTGTATGCATCGGCTATGCAAACCTCTTCTCAGATTTATGCAGGTAAATACACAACTTATACGGCTTATGATGGTACTTTGATGATGTCTTTCAATGAAAAGATAATTTAAATGAGACCATTGTCATTATATCTGTGTTACAGAGAATGCAGGATTCCTGTGAAAATCATTTCCGGATACTCAAAGTCGTTCAATTACGATCCGGAAATGAGCTTTTCTACTGACAAAACTCCAGAGCATGCGTGGAACGCTGTATATTTAAACGGTGACTGGCAATTTGTTGAGTGTACATGGGGAGCAGGATCACGTGACGACAGAGGCAATTTTGTTAAGAACTTCTCAGATTTTCATTTTTTGACAGAACCCAAGCATTTCATCGTGACCCATTTTCCTTATATGGATAGTGACATGTCTAAGAGTCAAACCTGGCAACTGCTTCCAAAGCCCTTAACATTGGAGGTATTTAACAAACGACTGAAAGGCTTTACAGGGATGTACAGATGGAAAATCAAGCCTTTATCACATCCTGATGGTGTCACCAACTTTTCCAACAAAATAGAACTTACCATGGGGTATCCAAAATCTTCCTATTTTTTCGTTATGGCACGGTTATCCAAGAAACTGTCTGCACGAGATTTTGATCAACATGCGCTTGTAGAAAACATGGGTGGCAATAAAGTAAGAATTCGAGTTGCTCCACCTGAAAGGGGAACCTACATACTAAAACTGTTTGGTCGCAATGATCCAAAGGTGGAAGAGCTGTCTGCTGTAGCAAATTACGTTCTGAAATGTGAGGAAACTGGAGACAGCTCGTTTGCTTTCCCAAAGCATCAGGGTCCCTTTGGTCCTTATCACGACTCTCTTGAAGCAGGGTTCCATAGTTCTACCGGAAAAAACGCCGTGTTGGAAAGCAGGAATGGAAAGCTTGATCTTCAGATCAAAACTACCAAAAAAGTTGAAGCCATTGCGAAGTTGGAGCACGCAACGAAAAATCTCAATCCAAACGATAATTATGTTTTACTAGAGAGGGATAAAGGGAAACTCTGTGTCAAAGCTAAGTTCCCTTCAAAGGGATACTACAAGCTAAGTATATTCACTAAAAACGAGAATGCCGACACTTACTCTCCTAGAATAGCTTACTTGGTTTTCTGCAGCGAAGATCATCCTAATTGTGAACCATTCCCAAAAGTCTTTCCTCAAACAACTCAGTTTGAATGTCGTCTTCTGTCCCCTGTCACGTGCGAATTAAAAACGCATGCGCAGGTGAAGTTTCGGTTCTCTTCTCCTAGCATCGTTCAGGCTTTGCTACATGATTCTCCAATGGAGAAGAAGGGAAACATTTGGGAGGGAACTATGAAGACACCTGGACCCGGAGAACGAATCCAGATTTCAGCTAGCGACCAAAAAGGCTCAAAGTATTGGAGGATATACGAGTTTAGTGTCATGTGAGGGTGACTTTGGTTATGAGTGATATATTTTAAAAACATTTCACTTCTTATATGCAAAAATCATGAATGACTGAAGTATACACAATGGGGATACAGTGTAAACTGTCTAATCCGACATCTGTGCAATCCGTCACATTAATCGTAAATTCCGAAGTAAATTTTCGGACCCATTTTACTATTTTGCATGTATTTTACACTGTCCAATCCGACACCCTGTCTAATCCGACACAGAATTCATCTCCCAGCGCATGTCGGATTATACAGGTTTCACGGTATAAACATGTATTCACTGAGGGATCTGATCATCCACTGTATTGATATTTTATACTTGTTGTTACGCATATTACTGACATTGTCTTCCAAAGACTTTAAAAAACTTAGCGGTGCTTCGTTTACATACTTATTCATGAGAATTTTTTTTTTATGTAAACATTTCTTGAATTATTTGATTTTATAATCTTTTAGCTTAGACGTATTTTTTTTGCTGTGATAGATTTTATAGAGCATTGTCTCAGTAAGGTTGTAGTGATGTCCATTGCTGAACACTCATCTGTTTCATGATAACATGCTTACTATTTATATGTGATATGTGTTATTATTACATTTTTTATACTGTACCTTACAAAAAATTCCAATTAAGCAATTGAATTGTAAATTAAGGACATTCAAATTGCTTAATATATTTTCATTTATTGATTTCGTTGTAGATCGAAAGAATACTAGTATTACTTGTTTGAAGAAAAATTTGCTTCATTGTTAAAGTTATACAGACTGGCTAAATATTATGGGGAAATCTTCTTATATTTTTTGTATTAAAAACATCAATGAAATTTTCATAGATAATAAAAGGTAGTGTAACTAAGTAATGGTATCAGTTATATTAAATTTGACCGTTTTACATTATCAACAAGGTCAGGTTAAGGCCATTTATTTTTCTCATTTAGAATGAAACCAGACGTCTCTGATGAGACTTTAGCTCTATTGGTCTGCACGTATAACAAAGGATTGATTGATTGTATGCTGTTTAACGTCCCTCTCGAGAATTTTTCACTCATACGGAGACGCCACCACTTGCCGGTGTATAGCTGCAAATTTTGACCTATACTCGGCACTCAGGGCCATTGAGCAGGGAGGGATCCTTTTCGTGCCAACACCTACTGCGACACAGGACCTCGGTTTATACGGTCACATCCGAAGGACTCCGACTGGTCTCTACTTCCCACAGTGGGATTCGAACCTGCGACTTAAGGATCAGCTCCTTACTTAATTCGCAACTCTAGAACTCTAACTACTGCTCCATGCAGGCGACCGTATAACAAATGAAAGAGTAGCACTTGGATTTGAAACTTTGCAACAGGCAGCAAACAACAAATTATGTATCTTAGTGTACTCTACTACTGTGCCAAGTTAAATTGAAATCAGATTAAAACTGTAGGAGGAGTAGCGTTTTGAAAGTATTTCAAAGAAATTTCTATTTTTAGTAACCACGGCACCGTTAATCGAAATCAAAATCTGATAAACAAAATTATATAGCTCAGTGTAGTCTACTTGTGCCAAGTTATATATCAGACCAAAAATGTAAGAGGAGTAGCATTTTGAAAAATTGTTTACAGACAGACAGACGGACAGACACATTACTATCGCATAAGCTTTTCTGGTCTCTGACCAGTAGAGCTAAAAATACAAATAACTTGTTATCTCAACGTTAAGGTGAAATATCCCTCTGCTCCAAATTTTACCAGTTTTTTTTTTTAAATTCAAAACATTTATTTTCATCAACAACAAATTTTAAAGCACTAGATTCAAATGGAAAATAGCTTGAAATATGAAGCGTTGTGTACTTTTTCAGAAATGGATATTACGTCAAAACATAATGTGAAGAAAATTTGATGGAGTAAATAAAAAGATCAAAATTTTTTATCTCACAATAAAATTAGAATTATGAGGTTTTATATGAAAATATTTACTCTCATACCTATTTAATTCTCATTAGAAAACATAATGAACCGTTGCTTTTTAAATCGGAATATCAAATTGTTTTCTATGCTTGTAAAATAATAGATTTGATTGAGTTGACTGTAAAATGGTCTTTAATAATGAAATCGGTAAAATCTGAATTGACAATTCACTGTAATTCATGGAAAAATGTCTTCAGAAAGTTATCTCTCTTATCAGAGTGTTACAAACACCTTAAAAAATATATATGACTTGTAATCTCAACTCTAAAAGATATAAATGACTTGTAATCTCAACTTTAAAAAATATAAATAACTTGTTACATGCAAAGGTAAATTTACTGTATCAAAATTAAAAGGAAACAAAGTAGACAAGGAATAAAGGACATTAAGGGGGGATTCTTCTCATGTTTATTTCATCACATGAATAATTCAATTAAATAAATATTTGTAAATCCGAATTTCCACTACTTAAAAATGAGGTAGCAAGAAGTAAGGCATGCTTGTAAAAATGGTTCAATTTTTTTTAGGGAAAATTAGCTAGTTTTAAATGTTTGAAATATTTTACACTTTTTTCCCTTTATTTCACTTATAGTGAAGTATTCGAAAAAGATACAAATTAATACAAAGATTTTTTTAAAATGACTATATACTCAGTAATATAAGAAAAGTCATTTTTTAGATTTGTTTTTCGTTCACATCTGCTCTTATATTCGTGTGTTCTTAGACCGGAGGATTTCAAAAGCAAACATGATTGTACTTTGTTTAGAAAAAGTATTAATTTGATAAAATACTTTAGTCAATAGTTATAAATTTCAGTCTCTTTAGAAAATTCTCTTTAGTCTGTTGTCATTTTCAAAACGATAAGAATAGAAAAGAATGATACATTAATTTTCATACATTGTAATACTAGTTTCACACAAAATATAATCCGTGATAGATTTCAAACCCAATTAATCATTTTAAAATTGCATAGTTATAAAAAGAAAATCAAAAACCCCTCAATATATGAAATAAAAGTAAATATACTTTGAATATTCCATTTTACGGGAACCCAGACAAGAATCCTTCCTGAAAGTTACATGAATTAATACTGAGTATCCAAAAAGATTTTTTTTTTAAAATTGAGGTTATTGCTTTGATTTCATTTTTAAAAAATCTAAAAGTTCGAATTCCGGCATAATGACGTCGAAAAGAGAATACGCCATGAAAAAAGCAACGAATGGCACAATCATTATTGGGAAAATATATAATGGATTTTCCCAGAGGGACCCCATCCAAGTTTTGAAGAAGATAACTTGATCGAGAACCATTCGGACCTCGGGGGATAATAATCTGTCCAGAAAGTAGAGCACCTTGCACGAAAAGTCCCCCGTTGAGTTGTTTTGCCAACGTGAATACGAGGCTGTCTGATCGATACCGAGGCTCTGGAGAAATTCCCGCTCTCGATTTTGAATTTCAGCGTCTTCCCAATCTACAAGATCTTCCTTAGTCAGTAAGCCGAACAACGGGATATCTGTAAAAATATATACATGTGGTCAATATTAGCCAATACATACAATGTTTATATAATCAAACGGTCATGCAAGGTTTCTTACAAAATAATTTGTTTATGGCGTTAATGTTCATGAAGTTAATCTTTCATTGCCTTAAAGATGCTATGTACAATTCTGCACAATCGCAAAAGCAAAACAAAAAGAGATGCGTAATTTCAAGGAAGTATTGTTATTTTATCTTTGTCAATGCTTTAATTATATGATAATGTGGAGATGGAAACTACTGTCCTACATCTAGGGTTGTAGTTAGATGGACTTCCGTCAGGTTGGGCGACATTTCGGACACTCTGGATCAGTTTGGTAGGAATAGGTTCGTTAGCGCTAGCGACAAACAAGATCTTATGGATGCGCCGAGGATTGTAGATAAATGGAAAACGTCTGCGTATCGATCCAGAATTTCTTCTCTCCATGTCTTGTAATGCGGGAATCGACGTTTCGTTCGGAATCTTTCCCATTAGTATCATTTCCAGCAGTTCTTCCTGTTCACGTGAGTCAATATTCTCCAATCCAGTCATGTCTACTAGGTTTGGTATATATTTTGGTGCATGCATGTCTTTCCTTCGTGTTTCATCTATACCACATCCTTTATACCTGATAACATAAATAATTAAGCATTCAAATGATAATCACAAAATATTATTGACTCATCAAGCAACACGAGCTGGCTGCGCTTTTTGCGTCAAATTTTACATTTTTTGAAATATCTCAGTGGCAAGAAAAAAATATAAGCTTTTATTAGCTCACCTGAGCCGAAGGCTCAAGTGAGCTTTTCTGATCAAAATTTGTCCGTCGTCTGTCGTTGTCGTTGTTGGCGTTGGCGTTGTCGTTGGCGTTGTCGTTGTCGTAAACTTTTCACATTTTCATCTTCTTCTCAAGAACCACTGGGCCAATTTCAACCAAACTTGGCACAAAGTATCCTTGGGTAAAGGGGATTCAAGATTGTTCAAATGAAGGGCCGCACCCTCTTCCAAGGGGAGATAATTATGAATTAGTGAAAAATTAATAGCATTTTTAAAAAATCTTCTTCTCAAGAACCACTGGGCCAGGAAAGATGAAACTCATGTGGGATCATCCTCAGGTAGTGTAGATTCAAGTTTGTTCAAATCATGACCCCCGGGGCTAGGGTGTGGCCAGTAGATTCAAGTTTGTTCAAATCATGACCCCCGGGGCTAGGGTCGGGCCAAAATGGCCGACCAAAGTTTTACATAGGAATATATAGGAAAATCTTTTAAAAATCTTCTTCTCAAGAACCACTGGGCCAGGAAAGATGAAACTCATGTGGAATCATCCTCAGGTAGTGTTGATTCAAGTTTGTTCAAATCATGACCCCCGGGGCTAGGGTGGGGCCAAAATGGCCGACCAAAGTTTTACATAGGAATATATAGGAAAAATCTTTAAAAATCTTCTTCTTAAGAACCACTGGGCCAGGAAAGATGAAACTCATGTGGAATCATCCTCAGGTAGTGTAGATTCAAGTTTGTTCAAATCATGACCCCCGGGGCTAGGGTGGGGCCAAAATGGTCGACCAAAGGTTTACATAGGAATATATAGGAAAAATCTTTTAAAAATATTCATCTCAAGAACAACTGGGCCAGGAAAGATGAAACTCATTTGGAATCATCTTCAGGTAGTGTAGATTCAAGTTTGTTCAAATCATGACCCCCGGGGCAAGGATGAAGCCAAAATGGCCGACCAAAGTTTTGCATAGGAATATATAGGAAAAATCTTTAAAAATCTTCTTCTCCAGAACCACTGGACCAGGAAAGATGAAACTCATGTGTAATCATCCTCTGGTAGTGTAGATTCAAGTTTATTCAAATCATGACCCCTTGGGCAAGGGTGGGGCCAAAATGGCCGACCAAAGTTTTACATAGGAAAATATAGGAAATATCTTTAAAAATCTTCTTCTCCAGAACCACTGGGCCAGGAAAGACAAAACTCATGTGGAATCATCCTCTGGTAGTGTAGATTCAAGTTTGTTCAAATCATGACCCCCGGGGCAAGAGTGGGGCCAAAATGGCCGACCCAAGTTTTACATAGGAATATATATGAAATATCTTTAAAAATCTTCTTCTCAAGAACCATTGGGCAAGGAAAGATGAAACTCATGTGGAATCATCCTCATGTAGTGTAGATTCAAGTTTATTCAAATCTTGACCCCTGGGCAAGGGTGGGGCCAAAATGGCCAACCCAAGTTTTACATAGAAATATATATAGGAAATATCTTTAAAAATCTTCTTCTCAAGAACCACTGGGCCAGGAAAGATGAAACTCATGTGGAATCATCCTCAGGTAGTGTAGATTCAAGTTTGTTCAAATAATGACCCCCGGGGCAAGGGTGGGGCCAAAATGGCCAACCAAAGTTTTACATAGGAATATATAGGAGATATCTTTAAAAATCCTTCTCAAGAACCACTGGGCCAGGAGAGTAAAATTCATGAGGAATCATCCTCATGTAGTGTAGATTCAAGTTTGTTCAAATCTTGACCCCCGGGGCTAGGGTGGGGCCTATATGGCCGACCCAAGTTTTACATAGGGATATATAGGGAAACCTTTTAAAATCTTCTTTTCAAGTACTTCAAAGCTATGCTTAGTGATATTTATATGGAATCATCCTCAGGTAGTGTAGATTCTAGTTTGTTCAAATGATGAACGCCTGGAAGGGGGGGGGAGTAAATTCAAGCCTGATGTGCTCAGGTGAGCGCTGTGGCCCCTGGGCCTCTTGTTATTCATAGTTGAAAAACAATTCATAAGCTCCGATTATTCATTGATAAATTATCCCCTGTGTCTGCGTCTCCCCTAGCTTTTGGGGGCAGATCGGGTATTCCCCAGACATATTTGTTTCATACTTGGATAATTTATTAGAAAAAGACATCAACGGTATTCTAACAACAAAGCTTTACGATAAGCGCAATGACTTCGACTTTTAACTTATGTTGCGAATTGAATATACCCTAATCATCTGCATATTGGGTTTATTTCTTTCATTCGATACGCAAGAGCATTCTCTAAGGACGATTGGTTTCTAAAACGAGGCAAGTTAATAAAGCTATTGACAAACAAGTTGATGAAACAAGAAGATCAGCAGTTTCTTTTAAAGTCATCATTTCCCTGTCAGCAAATACATGCAGTCTAAAATATTGATTGATGTTTTTCATACTATTTGTTATGCCATCATTTACACACTGAATTAACAACGGATTTGTTCATTTTTTGCATTCATGACAAGGAATACACGGCGGGTGTGACCGGTCAACGGAGGATCTTCACTTCTCCATGCCAACTCATCTCACCTTTATGTTTTAGAGGTCAGTGTTTGCTGTGCATTCTACTAATTTGTACTGCTTGAACTGACTTATGACTTTGAAAGCAGTTTGATATCTCGTATTTCATTATACCCTCCGCTTTAAAAGCGGGAGGGTATATAGTAATCGGTATGTCCGTTCGTCGGTACGTCCGTCTGTCTGTCCGTTCGTCCGTTCGTCCGTTACACTTTGGGGTACCCATCTCTTATCCGCAACTCCTCTCATACTACTGAATGAAATTTAATGAAACTTTCAAAGAATCTTTATTACATATTGTCATTGTGCACTTTCTATTTTACTTTTTGATCTTACACTATTTTGGGCTTCCCATAGCAAAACATGGACACTGCCATTGTATTCATATGGGAGGCGGGGGGTATTATTTAGTCAGCTCATTGATCACAGTACCTCTAGTTTTAATTGTTTACAACTATCAAGTGCAATGATATGCCCATGCACAAAGTTTTGCAAATTATTCAAAAGGCAGAAACAGAAAAAAATCCCATGATTATCTGTAAGTCAAATGTGACTGTATACATAAATGTAATATGAAAGGCAATCGATAATATGCATTGCAAAAATTGGATGAATAAACGCATTTTAAAAAATACATGTAACTTAAGTTAATAACATTATATTTTACCACATAAGATGTGTCGTAGTCCTCCTTCTTTTAGCGTCTGTGGAGGAGAGCTGGGCGCCGATAGGGGCGCGATATTTCTTTTCCCCCGACAGGGCGGCGCTGATGGTATTGATAGTAGCTGATTTTCCCGCCCCTACGGTCCCCACCAACAAAATATTCTCTTGAAACGAGACTCTTTCATATCGCTGGAAGATCTTCTTGGCAGAAGGTAAATACGTATTCTCCTTCCTCATTTTGCAAGTTTTCGCACTGAACAGTCAACAAGTACCTGTGTAAATTGCGTACATTGTTAGGTATAAGTGTGTGTCATTGGAGTACATACAATTATAGCACATGTTTATACTTACTGAATAAAAAGCCTACTTATATTAATAGGTACTAAGTCTGTCTCATAATTTTATGTAATGTTTTGATTTATTCTACTTAGATGGATTCCTGACACTATTTCATTTTTAAAGATAGCCTTAAAAGTTCTACGGAATGAAGTAAAATAACTCATAGCTTACTTCGAAATACATGTACTTCTCTTACCTACTCTCCGTGGACTGAGCACAGCATAGGCGTCGGAACCGGGGGGGGGGGGGGCTAAAGTGAGCTTAGCCCCCCTCTCCCACTTTTTGCAAATATATACATAATATGGGCATTGAAAATTGGGGTTTACCTTTTTTGTTGGTTTTTTGTTGGTTTAGCCGCCCCCCCCCCCTCTTTCAAATTGCTTCCGACGCCTATGCACAGTAAGATCAGGCACTGGTTTCGGAAAATAATATAATATTTAACACTTTTATTATACTAAGGGTTAAAAATTTATTTCCGAAACAAGTGCCTGCATGTGACAATATACATGTAATGCCCGAACACTTGTAAAGTACAGTTACGGTATTATTAAATTATATGAGCCTACATTGTACTGATGTGACGATTGACAACAGAGTTCAAGAGAAATTAAACAAATATTTACCTGGTTATTAAAGTTTATTAAATAACTATATAATGTTCGACAATACTCATGTCCACTACTAGGAGCGACTTGGTTAAGGACAAAAATTTCACAAATACTTTCTTACAGAAATGTTATGAATCATGCAATACATGTATTCATAATTTATAATAGACAATTAAGCACTAGTCTTGTTAAAGCTATATATGCCGTATTAGTGTCTTATTTTAAAAGTAATAAATATATGTGGTGTCTCTTCAAGTTATATAAGTTATATACTTTCTGCAAATAAGACAATTCCACTCCATCACTTTTAATAGTTATGAAATATTATTTGGTAAAAATTATTTTCTCTCCGTGTCGGATAAAAAACCGCCCCTTATTGAAATATTCATGATCACGTTGTCTCGCATGTTTACAGCAAACAATGGTCCAATCTCGTGAATGAACCGAAAAGCATGATGGTCTACTACGTTTTTACTACAAACACGTGAGTTAGAGATTGTCAATATTGAGATATTGGTTGCTTTTTGTACCGAGGAATAATCACGTGCAATTGTCTTTTCAATGGACAGGTTGGATGAAATTCTACAGCTGTCAGCGACTATGGATAAAGAAGTGTGGAAACCATGTTGTGCCAAAATGAAATAACCAATACAAACAAATGATATAATTTGATCAATCAAAATGGTTATTAGATACATTCGATTCTGCATTTCTTAATGGTTCAAAACAACAAAAAGTATTCCACAGAATATCATGTATAAATCTGCACAATATACCGATTGCCAAAACCAGAATACTATTAAATAATATAATAAAATTCTTTACATATGAACCACAGTATTTCTGACCCTTGAAAATAATATAAAAAATCTTGCAAGTAGGTTATCAGCATTGGCTCGAACTAATTCGAAAGTGAAATTTGGAGTTTGGCAGTAAATTGTAGTGAATGAATAAAATTTAGTACTGATAGATATTGGAACCTATTTTACTTGTCAGATTTCTTCGAACTAGTTGATTTTTCTTCTCTCTCTGTTCTATCCCCCACCCACTTAAAAAAAACCGATGCTACCTACCTGAATTAATTTTTCTTAATGGTGTTCATCGAAATGCTTGGTTGTGCTCTCAAACTGGAATAGTTTTTAGAAGCCTGGAATTCCTTGACCAATTTTATTTTATTAGCCCAACTATATTTCTAAGAAGGCAAGATGTATGGTATGTAAGTTTCATCTACATATGTTATGTAGTTCATATTAAACTAGAGGTACTGTGAGCGATGAGCTCACTAAATGATACCCCCCGCCTCCCATATGGTTAAAAAGTCCATGTTTTCCTGTGGCCGGGAAACCCAAAATATGTGTCGGATCAAAAAGTAAAATAGGAGATGCACAATGGCAATATGTAATAAAGATTCTGTGAAAGTTGCATCAAATTTCATTCAATGGTATGAGAGGAGTTGCGGATAAGAGATGGGTACCCCAAAGCGTAACAGACGGACGGACGGACAGACGTACAGAAGGACGGACGGACGGACGGACGGACGGAATTAACGATTACTATATACCCTCCCGCTTTTCAAGCGGGGGGTATAAAAACCAAAAGGGATTATTGACGATATCCCATTCAGGGTCTAAACATGGTAGTTTGAATAACTCTCCATACATTGTACTTGACATAAAATATCTTTTGCGCATAATGCGCTCCATACTGAAGATCCGTAAATTTTCACCCAACCGAAAATGTCCACTAGCAGTACAGCACGGGGAAACTCTAAACAAACGGACCTGTACAACGGAGTGGGGAAAACTTTAATTTTCATCATTGTTAATAATTTGTATGCAAATATGAGCATGGGATTACTTGAAAATAATGTACATAATGCATCAAGTCTTTCTGAGAGCGATTTAAAAAACTAGCCTTTTTGAAAAACATGTAGTATTTTATGTAGTAACCCATAAATGCAACTCATTGAGCTGATTGGTCTATTTGTGTCCTTCACTGAACAGACGTCACAAAAAATATTTTCCTCGACTTGATGATTCTCGGATGCTTTTCCCGCGCACATGCGTAGATCCGGGATAAATGCCAGTCCTTTATAAATATGCATGAGAATATCGTGTTCTTTTCCTGATCAGTTCTTTGTTAATACCGAATAATATTTCATCGAATTTGCAAGAATGCTTCATTTTTGGTAGCTTATCATACTCCAGAAATTTTTGTTCGGTTTCAGTTGTGCAAAAATACTGTTTAACACGGCATACATATCTTTAAATACGACGTGTCGAAACCTGTACAATAATTTTTTTTAGAGTGATCTCCCTTACACCAGGTGTAAATCTTAGTGATTACGGAAAAGATTCTCATCATATCTTTGAAAATCTAATATAATCGTGAAATGAACTTAACCTAAATAGGTATGAAGTTAAAGAAAAATGACGTGTCAGTCTACCTTAATTACATGTACTGAGCGTATTTTAACTAGAGTTATTTCAAAATCATGATATGACATGAACATTCAGTCATTGTTTAGGTTCCCTAAGATATACTATACTAGCTTAAAAGTCCTCTTGATCACCTGACATACATGTAAATAGTTTCCCCTATATATTGGGAGAAATTCTGAAACAGACTTACCTAAATTTGAAACAGGGACTCAGTGAATGAAATAACACATCTTTGTGCAAGAACAAGTGGGGGATTTCCGAGTTATATATAGATGTGATCGATGTCCATTGTACAAAGAGGAATAACTCAAATCAATGTATGATTGCCATTTTCCGGAGGAGAAAAGTTATTTTAAAAGAATTTAAAAAAATACGTAATCTAGAAATTAATCTAAATCACACATGTAGCTTAGCATTCTAAGCCATGTACTAAGTGTCTTCTTACTTTTGGTGATAAGGTTCACAGCAATAACAAAAGAAATTTTTAACTGTTGAGCGCAGGCACTTTGTTGTGAGAATTTCCTTACTTTGTACATTAGAACTTCATATTTGAAAAAAAAATGTTTCGGATCTATAAATCAAGATCTTAGACCTGTATGTTTTATTAATATATATAGTTAATAAATATTAGAAAGAAAAAAAAAATATGCATCGGCCGGGAATCGAACCCGGGCCGCCCGCGTGGCAGGCGAGCATTCTACCACTGAACCACCGATGCTTACAGTTAAACCCTAATAAAATACGGAATGGACTGTTCAAGTTAATCCCTTTCACGTGTGCACAGGTTTTTTTGACAAAAGAGGAAAATGATTGAATTGAAAAAAAGGATCCTCCACACAGGGACGTATTTATTAAGACTATGTCCATACTTTTATTGAGTATTTGAAATTATGATTTAAGATACGTACAGTATCTCAAGATATGGGCTACTTCAGCAAATAAATGTAATAAATATATATGATAAAATTTGTACTCAAATAAATGAACATAAAATTATATTTTAAACATTGTTGTATATTTTTTTTTACACTCGATAAATCTTATTTTGTCCACGTGCCTTTGGATCGCTTAAAAAAATTGTGTGTATAAAAGCAATTTAAAGGCCTGACGTTTGGTCAATCTAATTAAAATTAGATCCTTTGATCCGCTCACCTAAGATCGCTACACAAAGGTAGCGATCTTAGGTGAGCGGATCAAAGGATCTAATTTTAATTAGATTGGAGGTTTGGTCATAAGATATGTAAAAATATTTACTTATGAAGTAAAACTTATGTTTACTTATTTACTTTATTTGTTTATAAAGAGCAACCATAAGATTTTAATATTTTACTACTGTTTGAAAGGTTTTAATTGTATACAATGAATTATAATTATTTTTTTCTTACGCAGCAGGCACGTAGCAACATGGGTGTCCCCCACTTTTTTTCCCAACATTACTTTTACTATTAGAAATGTTTATTGAAAGGCAGGTTGCCCCCCCCCCCCCCCCCACTTTACTACAGTAGAGTGATATCAAGGAAATGTAGTGTTGTATGCAAAAAAATTGGTACTGAAAGGAGTTGACATTGAAAAAAGTTTGCCTCTTCGAATTTTTTGTTAGATGATAGTGTCTCCAACTGAAAATGTATGCCCCCCCCCCCCCCCTGAAATTTCTATACCTACGGGATTGTTATGGTTGATGAAAGGGTGCCGGAAGGGTGTAAAATTGATTCTTTTGTAGATAGCGTATGCATTAGTTTAGAGATTTTAAATATAATAAAAATAAAAGTATACACAAGCACTCCAGACCCATAATTTTTATCGATCATTTTACTAGCTTGTCTATCTATTTATTAGTATATGCTCTCTC